CGACGGCGTGCCGACGCAGATGCCTTGCGCGCGGAACTGGCAGCCGGGCAGACGGATGATGTCGCAGCTTTCTATGGGGTACCCGGATGGCGCGACGGGGTACTTGATGGGCGGGGGCACGGGAGTGCCGCGCTCTGTGCCTGTGCTGGCGAGGTTGGCTTCGGCTTGTTGCTCTTCGTCTAGCCACTTCTTGATAGGAGCTAGGGGCCCTAGATCTCCATCTGAATCCGGGTTCCCATCCCTGAGTGGAAGCATGACGGCGTTCTCGAGATTCTTCTCCTCTTTCGCTTCCCACGAAGAGCTCTGGCTATCCCGCGAGAGTGCAATATCAAGATGATGGCTCAGCTGGGGGGTGGCAATTTCTGCTGCTGGTGTGCTATAGGTCGCTATGATTTTGGGAGTCGGGGCTAGAAATTTGGTCGTCTTGGGTTTGCTGATCTCCGCGAGGTCTATGCCGTGGGTATCTCTGGGTTGTTGGCGGGTATACGGACCCTTTCGAGCAAGTCGTGCAGGTCTATAACTCTTCTGGGTATAAAATCGTGTTTTATGGGAGGTATTCTCTCTCGTAGGTACAGCGGGTGCTAGGGTCGTGGTGATGTTGATAGGCGAGCCTAGCATGTCAGCGTTCCTTGAAGCTGGCTGTGTTGGATATGGCTGTTGGTCGATCCTAAACTGGTTATTATAGTAATTTGGCGGACCCTGGCGTTTGTCTACTGGAATTTGGTGAAACGGTTGGTATTGTTGGGCGGGCGAGGCAGCGTTGCCAATAATCCCCGTGCCTGTGAATGTCATTGGCTGGTCTAGCATCGTCTCCCACTGTGTCTGGGTGAAGTTTGTGTGAGTTACTTGCGTGGGCACACCGTGACTATTCACGATGTCTGCCAGCGCTGAAGAGCCGCCGCCGTTGCCGCCGTCGAAGCCATTGGTAATGTTAAGGCTATCCTGGTTGCAACTATAGCCGTAGTAGCCGCCGAGCTGTTGTCCAGGTTGTTGAGCTGTCTGGTAGCGCTGGGATTGATAGTTGCGGGATTGATAGGGTTCCCATAGGTTAATTTGAGCCTGGCTTGTCTGGGCTGCCATCACATACTGCTGCGTTAGATTATGCTGTTGAAACGCGCCTCCTTGGAAATCCTGTTGTCTATTCATTGTAATAATGAAAACAGGAGGTCGATAGAATATAGAAGAAGATAGAGGCTTGTTAACTTCAACTCTATAGAACTGATGCGGGTTACAGGTGTTTTGTAAATAACTGAGGGGGTGTTGCGGTATGTGCTGTAGAGAAAATACCAGAGAAAAGAGGACTTGTGTATTTGTGTGCTTATAAGAAGGACGAAATGTACACAAGTGATATTTAGAGTTTGGCTTTAAGATATCATCCATAGCAACAGGTAATAACTACTAACTAATACTAGTAGTTACTGGTAGAGGCCCACACATAAACATAGTGTTGTCAGTTGTTGCTTTACTTACCTAGGTATGGAAGGCGCAGGTAAACATTACAGTTTCAACAATAGAATTCTAGTTATTGCAGGTACCTGTTAAGTCAGTAGAATGTAGTAGCTCATACCTAGGTACGTTATCAAAGCAAGCTGCTTGTCATGTTGTCTCAGGCCCACACTACACTCTAACAGGAAACAATGAGCAATGTTCTATCCTGGCCATCTCTTTATTCACTAAACTATGATAATCATTGGAAACCCCTATTGCCCATACATGCGCTATCAACTTCAATGCAACTAATATTCTTTATGATGCCTTCCCCATCCCCTAGACGCACCATATTCCCATCATCGCTCTTTGAGCCACCACTTGGCAGCCATCCAAGCTTTGCCAATCCATTCTGAGGGTCTGCAAGGAAGGCAAACACGTAGTCTTGCATTTGCTCGGCAACTTGTTTCTCAACATCTGTTGCTCCACCTGAAATATTGTAGGTACCAAATATCATCGGCAAATCAGCACCATGATATGCCCCCATCCAAGGATACGGGGTTATATTCGAATAATTGCCAACATACTCATACCGATAAGTGGTGAGATTATTATCCGTACGCACATTAGAAGTGTTATATGCAGGGCAGATGAAATCGTTCAGAGTTCCTTTATCAACAGCCGTTTTGTTAGGACCACTAATTAAGTTGCTAATAGGGTATTCAATCAAGCTCGATTGCTCGTTCGAGGTAATAGACACGAGAGCTGGAAGCCGAGAGATCAATCCCCTCATAGCCCTCTCAGTGTAGTTTCTGTATATTATTCTGTCATCAACTGTTGGTCGAAAGAATAGTGACGGCTTGGTGTGGTTGTCACCGTAGTGACCAACAAAGTTTGAGATAAGGTTGACAGGGATTTGTTGCATGCATTCCAATTCAGCTTCTGCATCTTCGGGTAAGTCGCAACCAAGCTTCTTTGCCACAAAACTAAAGTTTGTTTGCAGTGCGTTGTCTCCCTGAGCAAACGTGCGCATCGCTGTTCCGGACATAAGAAAAATGGCAGCAGCCAGTGGCTCATCTGGGTATGCGAAGTTTAGAATATCTACCGACAGAGCGCCTGCGGAATGGCCCCATAGCGTAATTCGATTCCGATCTCCTCCAAACGCTTCGATGTTTTCGTAAACCCATTTTAGTGCAAGCCTCTGATCGAGTATGCCGAGATTTTGAGTTTCCAAGCCAACAGCGTTAGGAAAACCAAAGATGTTGACTCTATAGTTGATTGTTACCATGATATGTTGCTGGGATCGATTTATCCATCCGGCTGGATTGTAGTACGGAACATCGAGGCCCCCGTTCCTGAAACTACCACCGGGCACGAATAGCCCTACAGGAAGTTTATCTCGATTTGTTGCATTGATAGGGGTCCAAATGGCAAGACTAAGGCAGTCTTCAGCACTGGTCTGTGCCATCTCACCAGCGTAATAACTCTGGTCCCCTGGGGAGATTGAGAAGTTGGTGATGTTGGAGTTCCACAACGATAGCGACTTTGATAGATACTGTGGACATGGAGGTGGAAACCTGTAAGAGTAGTGATGCCGACTTGATGGCTGGCGCGCTACTGGAGGTTTCCATCGTAGGTTTCCGACTGGGGGTTTTGCATAAGGAATAGTGCGGAATACCCTAACCTCTCTGTATTCAGGATCTCGAAGACCTGTATAGTTTCCCGTTGAGGTCTCGACCGTAAGCCTGCTATCCTTCTCTCTGGTGTGAGAAAGGGTTTGTATGTTGAAGGCTATCAAGGGAGTGATAAAACACAGAAACAATTTCATCCTCATCATTCATCTATGTTGGTAATATCTGGGTTTTAGGTGGTAGCGTTATACAGTAATCTCCAAAGAAATATTGTCGATCGCATGCTGCCATTATTATACCTTGGACGCGGATACGCGATATGTAGTCAAATCAAGCCATCGGTCTAGACTTCATGTATCCAGTCTGCAGTTCTGCGATGTAACTATGGTTGGCATGAGGAGGGGTGGGAGCACATTGTGCCTCCTAGCCACTCACAATATCCTCAGTTTCGTGGGGGATCTTTTTATTGGTCTTACTATATTGACCCAAGTCTTCTGCTGATGGCATAATTGTTATTCGATGTTCTGGAATCTGGGGTTCCCTACTGCACTCGATTTGGGGAGGTATTAGGCTAAAGAACTTTGGCTTACGGGGAAGACATAAGAGACTAGAGATGCAACTAATGATATGAAAGAAATAACTACCGATATGAGCCAAATTGCAGTGACCAGATGATATTTCCTGCTCAGTATCATTGGAGGGCGGTCCAGGTTCCAATTTGATGTTAGTTAACCCTACCCAAAACCTGACGTCGGCATAAATATAGCATCCTCAGCTGGTAGCTCACTCGTAGCAAGAATCGCTTTCTCGAAAGTGTTCTCAGAAGTGCCGTTGAATATGCGGAAGGTATTCTCTGCTAGTCCAGGTGGGCGCATCGTCTATTTATAAAATATGCCGTATGTGATAATGCACGGGAAGCCATAGCTAGCCGTAACGTAACGCCCCAACCACGATCAAAAAACATTATTAATGGCACGAGTATAGTGAGGGAAAGCTACACTGCTTCACACAATGCGAATAGTGGTCTACGTCTGATACACACACTGCCCAGATAGACAGACTGTATACAGGGATGAGTGGTCAACAGAAGACTTCGTACATCAGGCCTATCTAGCTTGAAGTCAAATTGAGGTCGGCCAAATACCCGAACATATGCCATTACCGCGTTTTGATTACCTGCGGGAGACTTAGATGGTATAACCTACCTATCCTTCACCGTGGGTTACCTAGAATTTCAACTTTGCAACTGGGGTTGCGTCAAATCGTTTCTAAGACTTCTGGACGATGCCCTAGAATTCAAGTAATAGTGGATTGCTGTAGCTGATAAATAGAATGCATCATGTTCAAAAAAAAAAAAAAAAAAAAAAAAAAAAAGAATAGAAATCCAAGCCTAGAAGCCTCAAAAAGCGATAGATCCCTCCTGGTCTTGGGTAGCTGCTTACGGTCGTCCTCTACTCAATTTTAAATGCCTAAGTTCTTCATCGAGTAGGTTTAGCCAGTTCCGAGCTCAGTCTGCCGCTATTAACGATTATGGGTAGTAATCAATGACAGTGATAAGTGGGGGGGTACTGAGGCCACCCTTAATTGGATCTGAACTGACGTTGAGAAGAAATATAATAATTAGCGATGATGCCGGCGACGCGACGCGGCGCCACCTGAGTGAGTGAAGATAAAGATGGTCTGCAGCAGAATTCCCTACCTACCTAATTCGGAGCTCGGCGCTCGGAATATTTCCTACAATGTACCTCTAGATACTTAGTTAAGTTCCTAGGTACCTGCCCGTTTCTACCTAGGTAAGCTTACACATAAGCGGGTATCGGATACCAGCAGCTTGGTATCACACAAGTGGACTACCTACCTGGCAGGTACTTACCTAGCCTATCCCATCTTTCCCCCAAGTTGAAAATTAGGTATTACGAGCCCAAAACCAAAATAAGAACCGCCCGGTTAGCTCAATCGGTAGAGCGTGAGACTCTTAATCTCAAGGTTGCGGGTGAGTACATGGCACTTCTAGATGCAGAAATCCACATAGATCTAACTCCAACAATAGGTTCGACCCCCGCATTGGGCTCAATTCCTAATGCCTCTCAGGTCACTGGGAGTAGCAACCTCACTTTTTGAAATTTTTATTTTACTTCTTCTTCCTTTATTTATTTTTAATCTTTGAGAAACAAGCATTACAAGAAAGACAACTATTTATTAATTAATAAAATCTTTTCAATTCACTCCACAAACCTGTCCTGATCATTTCCAGTAGTTGAATTAGAGAGTGTGCATGTATAGAATACCTATGCATACTGTACGACGTGGGATCTTACGGTGCTCCTAGGCCCCAGACCTAGGGACCTGGCTTGGCGTGCTGTCGGCTATCGGAGTTAGAGATTAATTAACCTGTAGATCCATCTCTACCTAGGTAGGTATCTATCTAGGTACCTGCTGAGTGTCGAACTTCCTTCTCTAATAACAGCACCACAACTTGAAAAAGGCTGACTGAACATGGAAAACTAGCATGTCCTCAAGGACGTCCGCTCATTATAGACGCATATGCAGCGAAGGCATCAGTAGATAGATAGAATTAGGCAGGCATCGTCTGCCTGATCACTGCTTAGTAGACTAGACACCCGCGACAATGGCCGCGCGATCGGGATCCGTCGAGTGCCCTGGCGACGATGAGATCACCGAGCGAACACCTTTCATTCGCCGAGCCTCACCTACAACAGGCTCCCATACCATCAAGCCGGGCGATCGAGAGAGGGCATCTTCAATTGCCTCGGTCGGGAGCGCAGCGCCAAAAGCCCGGGGCTCTGGGGGCATCGTCGCCATCCTATGCATCGTCATATTCGTCGCGTCGGCGGCGGGCGGTTTCCAGAACATGTCCATGACTAGGATCTTCGAAGACATCCTGTGTCGTCAGTACTACGACCAGCTCCGCAGCAACGACGAACCCATCAGCGAGGACATGTGCAAGGTTGATGCGATCCAGTCGAAGCTCGCCTACCTATTCGCTATCCAACTTGCCCTTAACGCCGGCGTGAGCGTCCTGGTCGCGCTGCCGTGGGGCATCGCCGCCGATAAGTGAGTCTAAATGCGTCCTCTTCTAAATGCGAGCTGGTGCACTGGGGTTACATGTACTGACCTGGTCTAGAATTGGACGACGTCCGGTGTTTGCACTGGGCTTGGGTGGCATGTCCACGGCGTTACTCTTCGTTATGGTCGTTGGATGGTTCCCTCAAACCTTCCCCCCTCAGTTGATTTGGTTATCACCCTTGTTTTATCTGATAGGCGGTGCCGACCCAGTTGTCTCTGCCACCATCACCAGTATGGCCATAGATGTAGTGCCCGAGTCCCAGAGGTGAGTCTCCGCTCCCTGTGCGAGGCGATATCGCTAATGCCCGGGGGCCCTAGATCTGCCGTCTTCATGCGAATGCACGGCTCGAGTATGGTGGGCAACCTGATCTCGCCCGCCCTGGCCTCGATCATGATGTCTTCCACTGGTCCTTGGCCGCCAATTTTGCTAGCCTTCCTACTAACCTCGCTCCCGGCATTCATGATCTTCCTAGTTCCGGAGAGTCTGAAACACAAGAAAACAGATGACAATGAACCAAGTAGTAGCACTCTCAAAGCACGTGTCACGGAAGGTCTCGGTGAACTTAAGAAATCAGCCAAAATCTTCAGTTCCTCGTCGATGATGATAGTTCTACTCATCACTATGCTGCAACTATCACTCATCCTGTGCACCCACCAGTTCCTGGCCCAATTTGCTTCTAAGCGGTACCACATCCCGATCGCCAAGACCGGCTACATTCAATCCATCTACGGCGTTGTCTTCATCACCGTTGCCTTCTTCATCATGCCTTTCGTCTCGTCGCAGATTCTAAAACCCAGTACGCCCGCCTTCCTCCGCTTCGACGACGACAGGCGACGCGACCTGTTCCTTGCCCGGGCGTCATACATAGCATCAATGGTGGGGACTTTCATCCTCGGCGTATCCGGATCTATACCTGGGTTCGTGTTTGGTCTTGTTATACTCACATTCGGCGTATCGAGCGAGGGCTTCCTTAAGAGTATAGCGACGCTCTACGTCAGCGCCGAACAGCGATCCCGCTTGTACACCATGTTGAGCCTCTCAGCCATCGCGAGCAACTTGTGGGTTTCGCCAGCCCTGGCGGCATTGTTCTCGCTCGGCATGCGACTCGGCGGTGCCTGGATCGGGCTACCGTACTTTGGTATATCTGGCATATGCGTTGTTATGTTCTGCATGGCACTCTTTTTAAAACCACCACCTAACCCTAAGGTTGATGAAGAGGCCGACTCTGATAGAGGATCAGACTCGGAATGAAGGTACTTTATAGATATAGAAGACTTCATAATAGATCGGTGCAGCTGATAGAGGCATCATATTATGTTTCGGAGATAGAATGGTGTGGGATCTTGAAGTGATACTGAAACTACATCTCGATATACGCAGCAGAAATTACACAGCAACGGTGTTGTTAAATATTTTCTCTATCTCACAACTCGCTTACATATAGCCTCCCGCCTCCAGGGAATCTCGACATTATTAAGCAGGGAAATCCTAGAGGTACAGTAGCTACAACTTACTACCTATTCACCCATATCCCGATTGCCATATTTAATACTCTGCAGCTTCGAAAACCCCAGAGCCGTCGTAGCAGAAATAATCGCGAAAATTAATCTCCATCTCACCCTGTTCGGCGTCTTCTCTAAATCGTTAGATCGTTCATCATCAGGCGTAACACTTAGAGGTCCTTTCGTGCAATATCACCGACGGCTCGAGCCGATGAAGGCTAACTTATTCAGCTAACTCATCGCTTGAAGAGTCGGTAGGAGACCACGAGCCTCTACGGAACCGAGGTCTGCGGAACACCTTCGTTTTCAGCGCCGAGAACGCGTTCGCGATCCTGCGACGGCGCGACGGCGGCCACGTGCTGACGCTCGAGCCGTAGCCCGACGACATGGCGTCGTCGTCGTCCTCCGCCTCCGCGTCCCCCGCGCTAGCCGCTTGCTCGCCGGGCTCGTCGGTCCCCGCATCTTCGTGTAGGGGCCAGTTCGGGGGAGGGGGCGCCGGCCGAGGCGAGGCGTTTCCGACGGGAGGTGCAGGTTGATCTACCATGGGCCTCGACCCCGGATGTGCTGGCATCGGGGGCTGCTGGGACATCGGCCACATATGCATCGAGATGTGCCAGCCGGGCTGGACCATGAGCTCCCAGATCTGCGGCAAGACGATCGTCCCGTCCGGACCGATTAGGTCGTAATGGCCCATTCGGACCTCGTGTCCGACGACTTCAACGTGGGCAAACGCTGATTCGATAAACTGCTCCATGCCCTACGCCAGCGTCAGTCATCTACAGTGTTAGGTAACGAGTGGCCAGGTCTGCCTTACCTGCCAAGTCTGCGCTATGGCAAAGGGGATCATGAACTTGCGCCCTACGGCATCCTTGAGGTGGATTTGGTTCTGCGTTTCCTGGTCTTTCCTGGCTTCTTCCGCCGCCCATTTCCGCGTGTTTTCTTCCTCAGCCTGCTTCACGGCAGCCTCAAAATCCCTCGCTTCCATTTCCTGCCTCTCTTTCCGCTCTGCTTCAGCCCTCCGCTGTTGTTCTTCTTTCAACTTTGCAGCGGCCTCGGCTTCTTCATAGGCCCTTCTCCCATCCTCTATGTCATTACGAATCTCGCGTTCGAGCTGCTGCTGCAGCGTTTCGCGCTCCTTCTTAAGGGATGGTCAGCGATGGAGCATTTAACTCCTCGGCCATGTCAGAAGAACGCTTACCTTCTTCAGCATTTCGGTTTCCTCCTTCATTTTCTTCTTCTCCTCCTCAATCGCCCTCCTGGCAGCTTCGACCTTGGCAGTTGATTCAGCCTCAGCTGCCGCTATGGCTTTCGCTAATGACGTTTCTGTCTCTAACTTTCGCTCTTCCATTCGCTTCTCCCATCCTTGTTGCTCAAATCGCTCTTGGGTTTCTACTCGAATCTTCTTCTCAGCTTGGTCCACAGCTTCCTTCCTAATCGCCTCAACTTCTACACGGCATAGGTTAGTAGCTAAGATTGTAGAATATGCACGAGTTACAGCCATGCAAAGGAAATAGATAATCCTCATTCGCAGACATTTCTGCTAGGGGGGACTCATTAGAGGAGCATAGAGACATACGCTGCTTCAACGCTTCCATTATCGCCATTCTTTCATTTCGCCGCTTGCGCTCGAATTCCTTCTCGATCTCAAATCTCTCATTAAACTCAGCTTGATACTTCGCTCTCAGCTGAGCCTCGTGCAGCTTGCTATCTTCGTGCCCCCCACTCGCTGGGAGAGCTATATCCACAGACGCACTGCGAGGTGGCGGGATGTGGTGATGCTCCGGGTTACCATTAGAGCCGACATATGTGACCCGTGGTGTTACCACCGGGGTGATCAATGAGGTCTCTTGATCGTTTCTTGGTACATCCGCAGCACTCTGTTGGTCGTCATGTATTGTAACCGTAACGGGGTGTCTACTTTCCGACTGAGGGCGGCCATCCTGTAGCTGGTCCTCGGGCCTCGATCCAGGTACCAAGAGGGCTCGCTCCTCCGTCCGTCCATCCTCGGTACTCCGCGGTACTCGTCTAGGTGGCTGTGCTATTGCTGTCCGCCTAAGTGCGGGGCTCTTCTTTTGTTTCGTAGTGGATTTGTTGCTGCGGCGTGAGCTAGAGCCTGCCCGCAAGACGGTGTCCCTGAGCTTAGATTGCGTAGAGTTTTCGAGCTGTTGTTGATCTACCCATTCCTTCAGTGTAGGCATCTTTCTTGATATCTCACGCAGAAGCGACTCCTCTATGTTGTGATAGTCAGCATGGCTTCTTTCCAGCATGTGTTGGATCGTCGAGGGTGATTTTCCCTCTATCTTGTAGAGGAGCATATTGAGAATCCATTCAAGGGAGGGATCCCAGTAGTCGGTGGACGCAACCCTAGATAGGAGTCGTGAGATCGAAATTGCCAGTTCTTCCTTCGCCTCTTTTGT